CTCAGGAGGCTGAGGCACGAAAATCTTTCGAACCCAGGAGGCAGAAGTTGTAGTGAGCTAAGACTGCACCACTGCACTCCAGCCTGGGGGACAAGAGCAAAACTCTGTCTGAAAAAAAAAAAAAAAAAGGGAATTCAATGACTTCCACATTTCCCTCTTCCCCAAATTCTAGGTTTTGAAGACAGTGTAGTGCTTTTGGCTAGAGACTATTATTAAACTTTTATCTTATCCTATCTCTTCAATATAGAGAGTTCTTATTTGGTACCTGTTATTTCATATTCCCAGTTATTCTATATGATCCATTTATATTTGACCATATATTAAATATACTACAGGTTATTTGCTAGCCATTATTTCCTCTCCTCTTTATTTCTGCTCCCATCTTGAAAAGTCTCTGTTCTGACACATTTGCTGCTTGGTTAAGAGCCCTTGCTACAAGACTCTTTTCAAGTGTGGTAGCATATCCACATATCTTCCCTTCATCTTGTCAATAAACTATCTTGGCTGAGTCCCTTTCTATCAGTAAGGTACAGATGTTACTCCACTGCTTTCTAGTTTCTGGCATTGAAGATAAAAGACTGCATAGCCGGGCGCGGTGGCTCACGCCTGTAATCCCAGCACTTTGGGAGGCCGAGGCGGGTGGATCACGAGGTCAAGAGATCGAGACCATCCTGGTCAACATGGTGAAACCCCGTCTCTACCAAAAATACAAAAATTCAGCTGGGCATGGTGGCGTGTGCCTATAATCCCAGCTACTCAGGAGGCTGAGGCAGGAGAATTGCCTGAACCCAGGAGGCGGAGGTTGCGGTGAGCCGAGATCGCGCCCTTGCACTCCAGCCTGGGTACAGGAGCAAAACTCTGTCTCAAAAAAAAAAAAAAAAAAAAAAAAAGACTGCAATGTTTTTCCTTTGTAAGTAACATATATTCTGCCTGAAGGCTTGGAAGATTTTTTTATCCTTGAAATTCTGAGGTTCTCCCAGATGTCTTTTTCAGCCACATAAATTCAGCCTCAAATCTGGTAAACCTTTCTGTCTACATCTTTCTTCTGCTCAAGGGAGTTGTTTCCTATTATTCATTCAATTATTGTTTCTCCTCTATTTGTTCTCTTTCCAGACCTCCTTCTAGGACTCCTGATATTTGCATGTGAAGTTCCCCGGATGTGTCCTCTAAGTCTCTCTCCATTTTCTTTAGGGTGTTTTGGCTCTTCTGAGATATTTCTTGCACCAGAATATTCAAGCTGCTTACTCATGTGTTACTCAACATCCAACCCTTCAACTACTATATACTAAATATATATATATATATTAAACACAATCTATTTTTAGTTCCAGAAAGCATTTTTCATATGATAATTCAATCTCTTAGGTCATGACTTTTGTTTTTAAATTGAGGTATTTTCTGTTTCTTTAGCAGTTTTATTTCACTGAAAACTGCTATTCTGGGTGTTCTATTTATTTTTTTCTATGTCTGGATACTGGGTCCTCTTAGCTGTACTGCAATTTTTCATTTTACCCTGAGATAGGTTTTTTTTTTGTTTTTTTTTTTATGAGACAGAGTCTCATTCTGTCTCCCAGGGCAGTTGAAAGCATGCCAGCAGTGCCAGCATAGTAAGTTATCTTATCAGAAGTACCAATCATTGAATCTATTTTGGGACTTGAATTCTCCCAGGTCTCCTCACTTCCACACCTCAGGGATAGGAAATACTTATCTTGCCTGTTGAGCCACACTGTTGAGTCCTCAGATCTCTGTGATCTAAGCCCTCTCCAGGAACTTCTGAGTATCTGTTCTCTCTCAAGTTCTCTCACCTGGCTTCATTCTGCCCTCTAGCTCAGAGAGAACAAAGTCTTTCACAAGCTTCTCAGTTCCTTCTCTTACAGAATCAAGTCTTACTTACTCCTTCCTAGTCCTGCCTGCCCTCATTCTAGCAGCTGCTCCAATCAGGGGAAAGGGAAGGACAGCAGGCACATGACTTCCAGTAGCTGTCTTCCTAGAAACCCCCTCTGCTGGCAAATTCAGTGAAAAAGGCTCCAATTTGCCATCAACAGAAGTGTTTTCAAAAAATGTAATGAGGCCAGTGCAGTGGCTCATGCCTGTAATCCCAGCACTTTGGGAGGCCGAGGAGGATATATCACTTGAGCCAAGGAGTTCAAGACCAGCCTGGCCAACATGGCAAAACCCCCTTTCGACTGAAAAAAAAAAAAAAAAAAATTAATGTAATGAAGAATATGAAGACTTTCCAAAGGAATCCAAAAATATCATGCATTTACAAATACCTGAGTGACTGCTATGGGCAGAGCACAACCCTAGGAACAGAAACACCAGTGTTGATGCCTAAGGTGATTCTTTGTACAAGGGCAACATTGATTTTTCTGTTTAAATTCTGATGTGAGTATAATCAAGGTTCTGTTGAATTTTTTTTGTTTGTTGTTTTTCTGAGACAGGATCTCACTCTGTCCTGTCTCAGAACGCTGGAGTACAGTGGCATGATCACGGCTCAACACAGCCTTGATCTGCAGGGTTCAAGCCGTCCTCCAATCTTAGCCTCACAAGAAGCTGGGACCACAGGCATACTCCACTGTGCCCAGCTAACCTAATTCTTTGTTGCCCAGGCTGGTCTTGAACTCCTAGGCTAAAGAGATCCTCCTGCCTCTCTGCTTCCCAAAGTGTTGGGATTACAGGCATGAACCACTACATCTGGCCTATAATCTTTTAAAGAATGAAATAAAAGAGTGATTCCCACTATGCATTCTCTTTTTTGTTGTTGTTTTTTAACCCACTTCCCATTTAGGAAAAAAAAAAAAGTACAGCTTACTGCCAGCGCTCATTTAATTTCATATAAACACAGACTTTGAGGATGAAACAAATCTGATTTTCAACATAAAAATATAAAAAGCTTATTTTCAAACAGACCTTGTCTTTAACCCTAATGTAACAGAAATGTATACGTGTTACATTAGATTTAGAGACAAGAGTATCCTCAGGTCAAATGGGAAATGGGTTGAGACAGGGTCTCTTTGTTGCCGAGGCTGAAGTTCAACAGCATGACCATGGCTCACTGTAGCCTTGAACCCCTGGCTTAAGTGATTCTCCTACCTCAGCTGGGACTATAGGTGTACGCCACTACATCTAGCTAATTTTTTTTTTTAAAGAGGCCTCACTATGTTGCCCAGGCTGGTCTCAGACTGGTAATCATCCCGCCCAATCTCAGCCTCCCAAAGTGCTAGGATTACAGGAGTGAGGCACCACACCCAGTCCCTCTATGTATTCTCTTTATCATTAGACATACTTTTCTGGGATGTGACCGCCATTTACATATTTTGTTGTTGTTGTTGTTGTTATTGTAACAGGGTCTTGCTCTGTTGCCCAGGATAGAGTGCAGTGGTGCGATCTCAGCTCACTGCAACCTCTGCCTCCTGGGTTCAAGTGACTTTCATGCCTTAGCCTCTCAAGTAGCTGGCTAACTTTTCATATTTTTAGTACACACGGGGTTTTGCCATGTTGCCCAGGCTGCTCTTAAACTCCTGGACTCAAGTGATCTGCCCACTCTGGCCTCCCAAAATGCTGGGATGGCGTGAGTCATCTATAACCACACCTGGCACCATTTACACTTAAGATGAAAAGAAATTGAGGTTTTCATGGGCATTACCCACTAGTATATGGAAAAATGTAGAGTGAAATGTTATCGTCTCTTTTTCTTCCTTTAAGCTACTTTGATATAAGTGGAGAGTAAGAACCTGTAAGAAAGACAGGCTTTCCGGCCGGGTGCGGTGGCTCACGCTTGTAATCCCAGCACTTTGGGAGGCTGAGGCGGGTGGATCACAAGGTCAAGAGATCGAGACCATCCTGGTCAACATGCTGAAACCCCGTCTCTACTAAAAATACAAAAATTAGCTGGGCATGGTGGCGCACGCCTGTAGTCCCAGCTACTCGGGAGGCTGAGGCAGGAGAATTGCTTGAACCCAGGAGGCGGAGGTTGCGGTGAGCCGAGATCGCGCCATTGCACTCCAGCCTGGGTAACAAGAGCGAAACTCCGTCTCAAAAAAAAAAAAAAAAAAAGAAAGACAGGCTTTCCTTTTCTCTCATTTTTGCTGACTTTCCCTCATTTTTATATATCTTATTGCCCAGCAAGGAAGCCATCAACTTCTGTTATAGCATTTGCACACAAAGCCCGAACAGGTTCTTCTGTCCTCTCACAGGGCTCCAGGTATTCTGTGAATTCAGAAGAATTCATGTGAAAGTAAAGATAATCCAGCTTGTTCTAAAGGAAAAAGGCAAGGGCAGTAAGAATACAAAAATGTTAAAAAGCATTTGTTAGGATGTGTGAGGAGAAAATAAAAGTATGAGAATCTGCAGAATTTAGGAAGGTTCCAGAAACAAAGATGGAGAAAGAGTTGGAGAAGTGCAGTATCTCCTGTTGCCCTTCAAAAGACTTTTATAGTGTTCCAGTGGTCAGTGTTCCCACAAAGGCTTTGGCTGAAGAGTTACTCATGTAGTCTAAGCCAAGGCTGGAGGATGATTGAAAAGGATCTTATGTTGTAAAATAAAAAGTTGAACTTGTTTCCCAACAAACAGATTAAAGTTAGTGTTGACAGTCTACACACTCCTACCCCATCACACCCAAGGTGCACCTCAAGAGTGTCAAGGGCAGACCGGGCATGGTGGCTCACGCCTGTAATCCCAGCACTTTGGGATGCTAAGGTGGGCGGATCACTTGAGGCCAGGAGTTCGAAACCAGCCTGGCCGACATGGTGAAATCCCATCTCTGCTAAAAATACAAAAAATTAACTGGGCATGGTTGTGTGCGCCCCTAGTCCCAGCTGCTTGGGAGGCTAAGGCACAAGAACTGCTTGAACCTGGGAGGCAGATGTTGCAATGAGCTGAGATCACGCCATTGAACTCCAGCCTGGGTGACTCTGCCTCAAAAATAAATAAATAAATAAAAGAATGTCAAGGATAATACATAAAAATCTTAACAAATGAAGTTTTTTAAAAGTACATACCTGTTTTAGGCCATAGGGCATTGACTGCAATTTCACCTTTAAATTCTTCTGCCATTCCAAGCACACACATAGACATACCATACTTAGCAATGGTATAAGCTGAAAGAATCACAAAAAATAATAATTTAATTATAAAAGAAATTAAGTTAACCAATTTCTTTCTATTACTATTTTCTTCCTGATGTATGTGTATGTGTGTGTATACGTGTACATATATATATATATATGTATATACATACAACACACCCTCGCACACATATATATCAGGAAGAAAATAGTAATACACACACACGTATATATACATACGTATACGTATGTATACACATATTCTTTTTTTTTTTGAGACAGGGTCTCACTCTGCCACTCAGGCTGGAGTGCAGTGGTGTGATCATGGCTCACCTCCTGGGCTCAAGCAACTCTCTACCTCAGCCTCCTGAGTAGCAGGGACTACAGGCGTATGCCACCAAGACTGGCTAATTTTTCAATTTTTTGTAGAAACAAGGTTTTGCCATGTTGCCCAGCCTGGTCTTGAACGCCTGGGCTCAAGCAATCCACCTGCCTTGGCCTCCCAAAGTGCTGAGATTACAGATATGAACCACTGCACCCAGAGTCCCTGATATATTTTTGAGAATCCTTTTCAATAATATAATTATAATGTATAATTGTACAAATGCACTATTTTCTAATGAAAAGTTTTTATAGATGTGAACAGAGGTGAAATAATTTTATATATATTCCCTCCTAATATTTGATTAAAATAAAAATGACAGTAATATACTTTCATTTTTCTTAATACTATGAGGGTAAATCACATTGT